CTCTGCAGCCCTGGTTTTAGGGAGTCGGCCTCCGCCGCGAGCGCCTCTGCGGCTTGTGCCGACTTTTGGAGCCGTGGCTTCATCGCTCGAGGCCGACTCCAATTGCCTCTTCAGGCCAAGGCGAAGCGAGCGCCTTTTGCGCTTTGGAGTACCCTTCTGGTGCTGCTCTGCAGCTGAGACCATCGGGGTACTCACTCCGCTCATCTCCGAGGCAGTGTCGGTGTTCGACACTACCTCCAGGTTTCTCGCGTCCTCCGCGATAACGTCGCCGGATTTACTGCTCGGCGACGGGCAGGTTCGACATTCGGTGCTCCCCCCAGAATACGACTGGGAGTTGCCGGAGCCCTTTGGCTCCGGGAGGGATTCCCCAGACACTGTGTGCCCGGTACCCTCCTGGGTAGATTTCTCTTTTATTGGCCTCATGTCATAGTTTTTTAGTTTAACGTCCTTCGACGGGGACGCCTTCGGCACTGGACTCCCTCCAGCGACTCAGCCCCTTGCCAGGCGTCAGAACGTGGGCTTAGAGCATTTTTTATAGAGGTTTACGTCCTCGCGGATCCGAAGATCCACCGGTCCTGTCCATTCAGGATTACGGCTGGGCCGGACGGGGTCTGCACCAGACCGGGTCCGTCCGCCCCAGGGTTTTTTATAGAGGTTGCCTTCCTCGTAGCCCTCGAAGAGCCGTCATTCCTGACCGTTGCCAGTTAGGGTTACGACATGGCCGGACGGTGGTCTGCGTCAGACCAGTGTCCCCCACCTCTGGACAGAGCCAGCTGCAGTGGACCCGTCCGCCCCCAGCCCGCTCTCCCCTATGCCCTCTGCCAAACAGAGGGACACGCGGAAAGCGGCCCTCCGAACAGCAAAAAAAAAAATAATAGTAACTAGCTCTTCCCCAAAACTTCGCTCTCATTTCTTTTCTTTCTTGTTTCTAACTTATTATTTCTTTCTTGTTTCTAACTTTGAAAATGACTTTGAAATCCCCTTAGAGGTCTTAGTGAGTCAGAAGCAGGCCACGGGTAGTTAGCAGCGCAACGCGCTATGGAGCGCGCACGCTCTTCGAGGGCAGAAAAATTGGTATGCCCACACATCAGGGGGTCATCTATCAGCCGTGGATGGCCCGAGGTACCAGGGCTTTTCTTTCTAGGGTATATCTTGTTCACCGGCTACGGTTTTCGGTCAGTTCGAGTCCGACATAATAACCCTACTGATAGGTGATATCCGAGGGGAGTTCCGAAAAAAAAAACAAAAAAAGGGGTCTTAGTGGGCACTTACAACATAAAAAGCATCAGCTGCCAAAATTTCAAGTATGTAGCCAGTGGTTTAGGATCTGCGTTGATGAATCAGTCATTTAAGGCAAGTCATTTTCTATTTAAAGATGCTATAAGAAAATTTCCTTGTACTGTATTAAGGAACATAATCCTTTAATGATCTTGCAGGAATCGAGATACTTCGCATTTAATCCTTAATCTTAAGATTGAAATCCACCTTCAATAACGAGCCGTGAAACTAAAAATTCCCCCTCGGAGTCAGTCCCTTCGGTAAATCAAGTTACCTGTTGCCATTTCAATAATTTCTTACTCAGAATTCACTCGTCAGCCGTGAATTTATGTAAGTGAATTATACAGAGACCCGGCAAGGGATTTGCACAGTTTTTTAAAAGGCTTTGTTACTTTTTAAGAACAAAAGAATGTTTTTTATAATTCATTCAACGCAAAAATTACGAATTAACTGCGAAGGTAATTTCGTATTCAGATCGTGCTCTGATTTGACTTGACACCTTGCGCTCGTGACGGTCGCTTACCGCTCACGCCTCTTACCTTAAATACTGTTCTTAAAATCTCCAGAGAGTACCACGCAACGAATTTTTTGGTAAGGAACGGATCACCACAGGGATATGGAGAGTGAAAATTGAGATGAGTGAAAATTATTTCGGCGATTTGTGTAATTTTAGAAGGTTTTAAAAAAAATATTTTTTATTAACAGATTTTTGCTCTCGGTAGACTGCAGTTAGTAAGCTTGGTAATTAAGGTAGCTAGATTGTCACACCAGTCTTGAGATGATCAAATCGTGAGTTATCTTATAGGAGTTGGTAACCAACACGTTTTATTTGCGTTTGTCAGGTAAAAAAACCACATTGTTATGTATATTAATTTAGTAACAGGACTTTATAACATGAATTAAATGATACAGTAAAAACTCGACATATTTCATATGCGATTGTCTGATCCTGAACTAGGTTGAGCATTTACTTTAATACAACAGAATAGCGGACCCGACAGACGTTGTCCTATACACTGTACATGTAAATAAAAAAATAAGTAATAAAATATTTTGTAATAGACTGAATTGTCAATCTAAACTATTCTCGAATCCAGTTGAAGACACACAATTTTTTTTATAAAAATCGGTCCAGCCGTTTATGAGTTCTTGCCCACACACACGCACAGAAGAATTATATGTATAAAAATACATATAATTCTTCTGTGCGTGAAAAATATCCATATTTATAAATACAAACATGCCATTAATAAAATGCACCTAAATATAGAATAACTGATCGTCCTCAACACACAATATAATATATGTCTTCGGTGGAAATTGAAATCACAATGACGTTTACCAGTCAACAACAACCGCTAAACCAATTGAGCCTAAATTCTGCTATTTTATGTTAACGCCAAGCCACTGTCATTCTATTGACACCCTATTGAGATGCCTCTGACATCGGTTAAAATATCGGTATTCTACTAACATAAAAACAGTGTCAATAGACTGTCGATATAGTAATGGTGATCTCATCAATGGTGATATCAACAACATTTCCATATGATGAAAATTATATACATATATCATTTTCTTACAAATTTAAAATGTACCGTTTACCAAACGATTACAAAAACATCGACGACATTTGTATCAGTAATAAATCATCGGGTGGCCATTGGTCTCACATAGTTAGTAGAATAAGAAAAGTGTAAAACTATTCAGACGACACTTCATCGACAGTCTATTGATACAATATTAAAATAGCAGAATTGAGGCCCTGGCCAGTTCAACGAGAAACAATATGCTATATCTACTGTGTCGATCATAAAAGCAAATTACAATTAACTCTTGGGTGGGTATGCCATTGAAGCAGTACACTACAGTGAACATGATACAAGTGTATAATAAATAATAATATTCATTAAGTGTTACAGTACTTATAATACACCACGTATATTTTCTGCCACGATCTGATGGGTGACAAATGATGATTATAATCTATGATGTGTTTTTTATCGTTTTACTAATAAGTGAGTTAACTGACAATGAATATCATATCTTCAGTCGAAACTAAAGCTTAATCTTGCGAAAACGTTTATTTAAAGTAAATGGACATATTTGATCTCGCGATGTTTCTATTATGTAATTTAGGTCGTGATCGCAGGTTAGCGTAATATCCGCATCTCTTTAATGGGGCTTTTTTTTAACTCTAACTTGTAATTAGAATTAATATATCAAAGTTACCAGTCACTGACATCACATCAACAGCCTTCAGTCCACTATTGGAGATAGGCCTCTCCTTAGAAAGGAAATTTTGGCCCACTATTTTTTATGTGACAACAATAAAAAAAATCAATTACGTTCACTAAAGAGACAAGGATGTCTAATATTGAAACGCCACTATACATTTAAGGAGAGGCTTATGTCCAGCAGTGGACTGTTAGGGGCTGTTGATGATCATGGCCAGACGGGTTGCTATAGGATTGGTTTCAAGTTGTCCTTATCTTTGCAGTGTTGTTGTCCTACGTAGTTTGCTCCCTTAGTCGGCTCTTACGCCACCCACGGGATGAATAGGGGTGGTGACATTTTGTAATCTTAATCCGCCACCCCGCGGATTAATTTACCTAACAGTTACTCAAACCTGTCCATTTCATATATTTGAAGGTACTTATTGGGTCGTTGATAGCGGATTTAGTCCTTTGCATAAAAACAACAGGAACAATGTCATGAATAACAAACAAGGAAACGAAGAACCAGACAATAATGCGACTGATTATAGGCTCCGAGGTTCATTGATTGAAAAAAATGGCCGAAATTATATTCTTTAGTGTTATCCGCAGTATTCTTCATTAATCCTTACTTAGCCTAGATTTTTTATTTAGACAGTCTAACTTATGGTAGCATTTGGTGCAAAATATAACCCAACTCTGGATTCTGATACACCTTCTCCCTGCTGTAGTACCACTTCCTTAGCCTGTGGTTTGAGTACGATAGCACTAAACTCTTTGTCTGAAATTTTATCTTGATAATAACCCAAAAACAGGTCTCATTCAAAACTTAATATAAAAAAGTTGCAATGTAATTGCTTAAAGTTGTAAGATCGTATTTGTTAGTTAATTTGTTACGAGAATCTGACAACTATAATTTTTTCAGTTACATGCATTAATGAGATAAGGATGTCTAATATTGAAACGCCACTATACATTTGCTAGTTAAAAAATCAACTAACGATAAGATTTCATAATATTTAGCTGTAGAAGAACTGCGTTGCGTCTAGCGAGACTTAGATTTTGACACTAGCGTTTTTGCTAAATTTACTACAAACAAGCATTTAAATTTCCGTTTGGTGTGACTCTCAGAACAAGCCAACTTACAACAAAGTTATTTACACTCACTCACTTATTTACACTAGTCACTTGTAAAAACTCCTACAGAAAGTTTTTCTTTCATGTGTACGTCAGTAAAATGATTTTCTTTTTCCTTTTGATGATAGAATTAATGGATCAAAAACAATAACTTATAAAAAAAGGATCCGTAGAATCCTTAATAGCAAAATACATTCAATGCTGCTCTTACCGTTGTATTGCTCATGTTGCAGAAATATGTGATTTATCTACAACAGTCAATCAACTAACCAGAACAGAAAACCGTCACCACATCTGATAGACTGACAATGTGGTTTTGGATAAATAGATTCTTATTCAAATAAATCTTTTGTAATTAGGCTTCTGAATATGTTCACTAGTAGCATCCATTCACTTACATTAAAGAAACATTCGTCTCGTGTTATTTCTAGGGTTCTAACACAAGCCGCAAACTTGGCCTACGAGGTCTACATGCCAACGCCCACATGTAACAGTCCAATCTGCGGTTACCCGTGTCCTGAAATGTATAAAGAGTAAGTGGGCAGATAGTATTAACCTTACTATTGCTTTAAAAAATGATTTAAATTGATTACTTGATGCAACATTTTTCTTCAAAAGTTTAAAGTTTAAGTCTCTGTGGTCGCTAATAACGATATGGATAAAGTTCCTCTTCTTCTTCCTCCTCGTATACCATACAATATTGAAAGTCTTTCCAGGGAAATTTTTAGTTTTGAATGAAATGTATTACGTGTCAGTATTCGGATTACGGATTGCGGAGTTTCTTTAGAATAATTTTCTTCGCACTCAGGGTCTTGTTATTTCTCGAGCAGGCCTTATTCTGATTCTGCAAATAAATTTTATTTTAATTTACTTATTTATTTACAGAAGACATGACATACAGAATTAAGTGATTTATTTTCGCAATCAAATCAGCTTCTTAATGCCACCGATACTGTCAAGAGAAATACGAGTAGAATACCTCGAATAACAAATAATATGTGATTTTAACTTCTTTAGTGCTATTATTTTCAATTTGCCTTTAATTTCAGATACGGGGAAATATGTGCCCGCAACGGAGAATATAATTATAAAACCTTTCCAAACGTCTGTGAAATGTTAACAGATAACTGCGACAAGAATATGGGTATAGCACTTCTTATACAGCTGTTTATGTTATCGTTTCCAAAACTAAAAGTTGTTCTCAAAAGTGTTACCACGATTCAATCAGAGCCCATGGCAAAATTCCATTCTCAAATTGAGAGAGATCCGTACTTGTCATGTCTTGTTATGCTTATTAATAAATGTATATTCTAAATGCTCACCACACGCTCCATATTACTATATAGCATAGTTCATCTAAAGATTGCCTGTAAGAGATTGCAGATTGTGATAAAGCCGCCTTTTTTGTTTGAAGTCTGCATTGTATGTGTCCTATCCGTAGTGTGCAATGAAATGAAACGATATTTATTTCTGAAAGGATATCTTTTTAGATATTTTTACAAGTCGGAAATAAAAATTATCTATTTAATTTTGAAAGTCAGTTTGTTTCTTTGATGCTTTCACGTTTAAATAACTAAACCGAGTTTGAAAATTCCTTCACTAATGGAAAGCTACATTGGCTATTTTTTTCCGCTAGTAATATATAAATTCACAAGTAAGATTGTTTGTTTGTTTCGCTTTCAAAAAATAACTACTCAATCGGTCATATTAGTCAACAAATAATAAAGATTAAAAATTAGTGTCCTGTTTTATAACACTGTAAGCTTAAGCTTATTCCTATGTTTTTTGCCAGAACACTTTTTGCTATATATGATCAAGGTGGCCTTTATTACGCCTCTGCCTACCATATATAAGCGTGAGTGTATGTATGTATGATCAAAGTGGCGAAACCTGAATTATTTACGCATTTAAACAGATTTCTTATATTAACAGACTGGGTTATGACGCGCAGAGGAGAATGTTTTCCGTATTGGGGCACATCTGAGGGTACTTGGGACCTCTGGATCAACAAAGGAACATTTCCTCCGAAACTTAAAGAGAAATTTGAAAAGGGTCACACCATCATAGATAGTCTAGAACAATATAAACATTATATATACGACTACCACTCAAGCACAAACTAGTGGAAGAACGGGTGGTATGTCAACTGAACATTGATTTAACCGAATAGGAAAACCGAATATTCAGAGAGGTTCTTGGACGAAGGTATTATTCTGTGTCGTGGAGGACTTTGCAAACATACATGAAAGAACACCCAGACCCAGACTCAGAACAACAATTCGTGGATCACACTAATTGTCGTCTCAAGTGGGGTTTCAACCCACAACACTCTGCGTAGTAGGAAGCGGCGTGGCGACCGCTTAAACCACCACGTCATCCATCAGTTGACAAAATGTGGGCATTTAACACGCCTCTGCTTACCTTATATGTATATGTATTAAGTATTAATATTATTTTTTTATGTTAGAGGGGGCAGACAACCAGACGGGTCACCTGATGGAAAGTGACCATCGCCGCCCATGAACGTCTGCAACTCAGTAGTCACAGACGCGATGCCGGCCTTTTAGGAAGGAGTATGCTCTTTTCTTGAAGGTTTGAAGTGACTAGAAGGTATCTATTGCTGTTATAATGTGACCTGTTATATTGACGGTCGCACTCATTTTAGTTTATTCACTTAGATTTGTACTTTTTTTTACTGAGTAAATTACTTAAGTGTAAAGGAGTGATTTCTAATCAACATTAACAACACTGTATACAAAGTTCTACAAAAACATAAAATAGTAAGATCTAGATTTTATCTTGGATCTAAATGTAAGATAAGAATTAAATAAGTCTAAGCTGAATCTCGACGTTTATATTAGCAAATTTGTTACCTACCAACTAAAACGCACATAAAATCCACAAACACAAACAATACAAATTAAATATCTCATTTCAGTATCATAATAAAGTTATAAATGTAGTAATTATCTCTATCAATGAGAATTATTTCACACTTTATATAAATTGGTTTGCAATCAAAAAGCGTTTTGAAATTCGTTTAATATGTGTGGCGTCGAATAATAAGTAATTACTTGCTGGAGTATAACATATTATGTACAACAACAACGAATAGTATAATTTAACACGGAACATTCAATTATTTTCACCTATATATGTTAAATTAATTGCTAATTATTGAGTAAAGTTGAACAATATCGGTACAAAGTGCCCTGATTTCAGTGATACCCGTTTAAAGCAAACTTCAGTACCTCAGAGCAAGATATTTATTGAACGTATTGTGTATGCTTAAATACAATAGTTGTACACAAATGATAGTACGATTCAATTCGACACTAACGCCATCTAGGGCCGAACATGGTAAATATTTTACCTAGTAGTACGTTAGTAAACAAAATAGGTTACTATTTTGTTTATCAATGGTTGCCTAATTTAATTTATAACAATAAATTACCTTTTCTTATGATTTATTTTTATATTCGCTTTTATGTTATTCTATTGAATTCTGTGCAAAAGTTTTGAATTCAACTTGAAAAAGAGAAGTTCAAAGTGACTAGAAGGTATTTATTGCTGTTATAAGTTGAGGGTCGCACTTATTTTAGTTTTTATTCATTTAGATTTGTAATTATGATTTTAATTTACATTTATTTTATCATTTTAGTGTAAGATATTCCGTGTGGTGACGGATTAAGAATACGGAATGTCACCACCCCAATTCATCCCGTGGGTGTCGTAAGAGCCGACTAAGGGAGTAAACTATGCAGGACAACAGCACTGCAAAAGAAGGAAAACTTGACACAAACCCTTTTTTTTTTTAACGTGTGGAAATCCCCTCGGACCGTCGCCCAACCGGGGTTTGCGGCGGGGTGGTGTGTCGGACTCGGACCGACTAAAACCACACGGTGTGCCACTCTGCGCCTGTGATAGGAGGGATCCGGGAACAGCTGTTATTAAGACATCCGGACCCCTCCTAGCGCCGGCCTGCTCCTGTTGCGGGCCCCGTCTCAAAATTTTCCTCTCTTTAGGCGACGTCCGGTACACGCGGACGCCGCCCCCTCGCGGCTGGCCAAACTAATGCGGGTGAAGGGGAAACCCACCCAGTCCACCCGCGGCCACACTCAGGGCGGCATGAGGCGGTGATAGTCCTCCTTCTGCGAGATTACTTGCAAAAGGTTGCGACCGCAGTAAAACAACTGTCGCTACCGGCCATGGAGCGTACTACGGCCGGTAGCGAGAGATCCACTCCGATGACTGCAGTGAGGGCCCGGCGCTGCGTCGCCCATGCGGGGCAGACCGCCAGCGTGTGCTGGGCCGAGTCCTCACTGCAGTCGCAGTGGTGGCAGGCGGGACTCAGTTCCCTCCTAGCTACCGAGTGCAGGTACTTTCCGAAGCAACCGTGCCCGGAAAGCACCTGCGTCAGCCGGAAGGTAAGGGTCCCGTGCTGCCGCCCTGCCCACTCGGCGATGACCGGCTGGAGAGCCTCCACGGCGGCGAAGCCAGCGCGTGGAGTCTCCAGCCGGAACGACCAACGAGCCATCGTGGCTCGGCGAGCGGCTTCGCGCCACTCGCGCACATCCTCGGGCGGAGGGCGAAATCCGCTCTCCGCCCGGGAGTCAGCCACTCGCCGATAAACTTTGGCGAGCACTTCCGCCTCCAAATCCCACGGGGGAGTTCCGGCCAACGCGCACGCCACCTCCGTCGAAACGGTGCGGTAACCGCGTATGGCTCTGACCGCCATTACCCTCTGAGGGCGCCAGAGGCGTGCCCTATTCTGGGCGGTCAGAGCCGCCGCCCACACCGGTGCACTGTATAGTGCCATTGACCGGACAACCCCCGTGTACAGCCGTCTTGTCGCGACGCTGGGTCCACCCAAATTGGGCAAAAGTCGCCCTAGGGCAGACGCAGCGCCGACCAGCTTTGGAGCAAGCTGTCGGAAGTGCTCGTCGAAGAGCCACCTCCCGTCGAGGATCAGGCCCAGATATTTCATCTGGGCCCGAACCGGTACGAGGACCGAGTTGACCACGATTGAGGCGCCAGGGGGTGGACCACGACGGGGCCCATGAAATAGGAGAGCCTACGTCTTATCTAGGGCCACCCGTAAGCCCAGCGCCTCAATGCGCCCGACCACCAGGGAGACTCCCCTTGTGGCCAGGCGCGCCGCCTCTTGGAAGTTCGCCCCCCGGGCTGTCACCAGGGTATCGTCTGCGTAACAAATTACACCCAGCCCGGGGGGGAAATCGGCTCGAAGGGCCCAGTCGTACCCTATGTTCCACAAGAGGGGTCCAAGAACAGACCCCTGTGGAACACCGAACGACATGGGCCGACACCTCAAATTACCATCTCGGTCCTCGTACACGACGGTACGCTCCTCTAAATAGTCTGCCACTAGCCGCCTCAGGTACTTTGGCACCCCATGATAGTGGAGTGCTTCCCTGATGCAGCTGAATGGCAGACTATTGAATGCGTTGGCGATGTCTAATGACACCGCCAACAGCACGCCGCCACAGCTCACGGCCTCTTCGGTCACGGCCCTCAGGCGCAAAACTGCGTCGACTGTCGAACGCCCCGCCCGAAAACCAAATTGGGCGTCCGAATTGACACAAACCCTATACCAACCCGTCTGGCCAGCGTGGTATAGTAGGCTAAAACCTCCTTTCTAAGGAGAGGCCTATGTCCAGCAGTGGGCTAGTAAAGGCTGTTGATGAGTGTAAGATATGTTTGCAATGAGTGGATAAGTACGATATTTAAAACTCTACATAATGTAATGTAAATTACACAACTGCAGTATGTTAGACTATATTAAATTTAGTTTAATGAGTCCATTACTTAATTTTGATAAGGTTGTAAGATGGTACATTTAAAAGCCGAAAATATATTGTTTACCACATTACTTCGTTTTCCACCACTGGGAGTGGAATTTTTCTTCACATTTGAATGACACCAAAGATGAAATATACCAAATAAAAAAGAATTTTCCAAATCGGTTTACAAATGAAAGAGTTTTGAATTTTCAATTTTACTCCATCTTTTTTCTATATCTTGTTTTCTCTTAATTGATTTTACCTTTTAGCAATTAACTGTGTACTGGCGCACACATCAACACAATGTTGTGATATATTTAATGATGCCACTGTATCTAGCTGTAATTGAAATAAATTGGCCGTGAGTTTGTTTGCCCTTTCTTCTCATAAGGCTCAACTCCTTGGAAACGGGCGGTTGTAGATCAGAACAGACATATAATGGATTAACCCATTTTTCTAAACATTCGACAAAACAGTTTGTTGTTATTGTGTGCGTTGATCTATGGCTTAAGAGTCTAAGGCGATTTCAAACAATTTTTAAAAGAATTTTATAAAATAAAGATCAATTTTGAGTGTAAGGTAACAAACATGAAAAAAATTGCGAAACAAATATTTTTTGTCTAAATGTTTTGTAATCTAATTTATCACTCTCTTGTGCTCTCTCTGATGGTAAGCAAGTAGCGCGCCCATGGACACCTGCAACTCAAAAGTAACAAGTGCGTTGCTGCCCTTGGAGTCCCTCCCGCTTTAGTCAGCGGGAGGGAGGATTTGGGTTCAGGTAATCTCACTCACTCAGTGAAAGGCAACGAAACAATTGCTTAACACCGGTTTTCTGTGAGGCCGTGGTATCACTCCGGTCGAGCCGGACCATTCGTGCCGAAGCATGGCCCTCCCACGATAAACGTCCACTTTTATGATTTTGAAATCGGTTAATAAGAGATATTCAATGTAAACAATCTATGTGTCACGTTTGAAATCATAATCGAGAGATGGTCCTGTGCGAGTTACTGCTCCCCCCATTGCGGGTCATTGTATAAGAATGAATGATGTACTCGCTTGGGCGTGTTTTATTTCCAACTACAATCATCAACCGAACTGGACAGAAATATGTTACTTTTTCTTTCAATTTTTTTTGCATTGAATAATAAACTTGTAATTGAATTTTCGGTTAGTTATATATCAAGAATGTTATCTAAAATTGTTTTCCGTAGTATTTAATGTGTATTTGAGTAGACAGGCCGATGGGACAACGTTTCTTTTCAACCAAAATATTTACACGACTCATATTTTGTTAAAATGAACATCGGTCAATGGATTGTACTTATAGGTTAGTTTTTTACAATAATGTTATTTGTACGACTCTCTATCGTCATAAAACAGCCAGTAATAACATGAAGTAGAAAAAAAACAAATATTAAATTAATGTTTTAGTAAGTAATTATTAAAAATTCTGTTGCTCTCTGTTGCTCACCTCAAAGGACATTAAAACTTGATGTATTTGGAGTTTTCTTTTGTTGTTATGAAATAGTTGAATTGGTCATATGATGACGGATTAAGAATACGAAATGACACGACCCCTATTCATCCCGTGGGTGTCGTAAAAGCCCAATGAGGGAGCAAACTCAGCAGGACAACAGCACTGCAAAGTGAAGCCAAACCAAAACCTTTTTTCTAAGGAGAGGCCTATGTCCAGCAGTCCACTGCTGGACATAGACATTAAAGGCTGTTGATTGAAGGGATAGTATAGAATTCCATGGAAGCTCTTAAATATGGACGGGTTTATAATTGTTTTGATGACAACTGATATGTTTAAAATGTCATATTGTTATTTTGTTCTGTATTCCCATTGTAATCGAAAATCATAAATAACTGTTACATATGCCGCATGTTCTCTTTAAGTTTCGGTTTAAGATCAATGGAAAATATACTGAATCCATCTTAGTATTCGCAGACGACCTTGCGATCCTCACACGTAACCCGAAGTAGTGCCAAGAACTACTTCGTAAGGTTTGACTTCTGTGTCTGGACTATTTGCGGTAAAGGGTCAAATGAGGAGACGGGTCACGTGTCACCTATCGGTGTCACCGCGGTATCACCACCTGTCGGTGGCATGTCGGACTCGAACCGACTAAAACCGCACGCCGCTTCGCAACGCGCTCGCCGCCACCCCGGCCTGCTTCTGCTAGGGTGACAGATGGCCTCACCTGTCACCCCCAGGCCTGCGCTTATGGAGGACGGAGGTCGTTCTGCGACCTCCGGACCTATAGACACCTGAAACTCAAGAGACACTGTCCTTTAAGTGCCTTACTATTGTAGAGCCTTCAGTAACTTCACCCACTCGGTGAAACAACGAAAGAATTATCTAAAACAGGTTTTCTGTAGTATCATTATAGTCAAGCCTAGCCGATATGTGCCGAAGTATTGCTATCCTACCGTTTTACTTTAAAAAACTACCTCTGTTCATTTTTTATGAACTGCCATACCGTTCATTTTGTCAATCACTAAAATTGCCACCTTGACTGGGATACAGAAAAGACATAGGGATTTACCCAGCCGAATAAAAATATTGCCAAGAGATGGAAAAAGTATGTGAACTTCATAGAAACCATGGGCTAAAGGTTATATTTTAACATTGAGTCGGTAATATATATCTTAGTCAAGACTCCAGTTTTAGTATCACCATCAAAACTGTTTTATTTTTTTATTTTAGGGACCCTACGTAGATATTGTTTGGCGTATGTATGTTTTTTGTTATTACTTACACTTAATTTTTTCATCTCTATTGAAACGCGAGTATCAATAAATCCTTTTTTGTTTTTCGGTATTTCACATTGTATATTTTAATTTTTTTCTTCTACTTTGAAAAACTTTTGAATGAAGAGAATGAATTGAGTGCTGAAGGATTTGAATGTGAATGTCGGACTGGTGAACGAGATTAGTGTAAAGACTGACTGTACATCATCATCATCATCAACAGCCTTTAATAGTCCACTGCTGGACATAGGCCTCTCCTTAAAAAGGAGGTTTTGGCCTACTATGCCACGCTGGCCATACGGGTTGGTATAGGGTTTGTGTCAAGTTTTCCTTCTTTTTGTAGTGCTGTTGTCCTATGTTGTAGTAGGCTGGCAGTACAAAGTATAAAAAAAACGGTCAAGTGCGAGTCGAACTCGTGCGCCGAGGTTTCCTTGCCTACCCATTATACCGCCATAATAAACTTGATATCACTTTTATTGGTGGCTAAGTTTCAAGTGTGTGTGTGTGCGTGTGCTGTAATGGTTAAGTTGCTAACGTGTGGTAAGGGCGTGGATGATAGAGAAACTTAAGTTAGGAATACAATTGTTATTTTTGCCTAATTTCTTTTAGTTTCTTTCACAATTTTATTTATTTACCTTATTTAAGGTGCCAATTAAGCTAGTCCTCTAAAGTGTATGAGCTCCCATATAACTCAGATCAGTATCTTAATTGGCGTTAACTATGTGTGTATGGGGACACCCTTTAGTTTACAACTTTTTTATATTTTTTGGAATTTGCCCATTTTTTTGGGCTGACCTTGCTTTTTGCCAAATTTCGTGATTCTAGGTCTGGTCCTATAGGTTTTTGACCTAAAACCTATAGGGTACTTCCGGTTGACCTAGAAGTTTCAATTTTAGTTAGAAGCAAGGTCTTCAAGGTGCCCCGACGGTATACCAGTGGAAGTTACTCAAAGAAGACGGATATGAGTGGCTGACTCTTTTCTTTAATATGTTGTTGCATGAAGAGATAATCCCAAAGGAATGGTGTCAAACCCAACTCGTACCCATTTTTTTAAATAATAGGGATGTTCAGGAATGCAACAAATATCGAGGAATAAAGCTAATGTCACATACTATGAAAGTCTGAGAGAAAGTGATTGAGAGAAGAATAGGAGATGAGAGTTAGACAACCCAAAGTCAATTTGAGTTTATGCAGGATGCAGGACAACAGATGGCACATTTGCAATGCGCCAACTATGTGAGAAATACAGGAGTACGCACAAAAACTTGTATACGATGTTTGTGGACCTCGAAAAGGGTACCCCGAGAGGTTTAGTGGTGGGTTTTAAAAGAAGAAAGAGTGCCTGTCAAATATGTAGAATTGATTCGTGCTATATACAGAGAGTCTAGCACTCATATAAGGTCGGTCACGGGAAACACTGATCAATTAAGTGTCTCTGTAAGCTTGCACCAGGGATCGGCTCTGAGCCCGTACCTCTTCCTATTAATAATGAATACTCTGACATTGGACATACAGGAGGAGGCACTTTGGTGCATGCTGTTTGACGCTGCTGTGAATACGGGAATGAGGTCTAGAGCAGACTGGAAAAGGGGCAAGAAAGCCTGGAGAATGGCGGCTTGAAAATCAGCAGAACCAAAACTGAGTACATGTTCTGCGATTTCGGCGATCTCACCGATCCTGAAACCATTTCGCTGGATAGGTTATCGATAACACATCATCATCATCACCATCACATCAACAGCCTTTAATAGTCCACTGCTGGACATAGGCCTCTCCGTAGAAAGAAGGTTTGGACCTACTATACCACGCTGGCCAGGCGGGTTGGTATAGGGTTTGTGTCAAGTTTTCCTTCTTTTTGTAGTGCTGGTGTCCTGCGTTGTTTTTCGCCCTTAGTCGGCTCATACGACACCCATGGGATGAATTGTGGTAGTGGCATTCCGTATTCTTAATCCGTCACAACACGGATAACAGTCTACTCCAATTTCAAATACCTCGGCTCCCTCTTACAATGTGATAGTGAGATCGATCGGACTGTACTGCATCGAATCAAAACGGGATGGATGAAGTGGCAGCAGGTAACGGGAACAATCTGTGATGACAGTTTCCCCTTAACAATGAAAGGACAAATTTATAAAACTATCATCAGACCTGCCGTCCTGTTCTGAAAGTTACCCATTAAGTAAATGGATAAGAGACGCCTGAACGTAGCCGAAATGCGAATGCTGAGATGAATGTGTAGTGTTACTCGGATGGACAAGGTTAGGAATGGGTGAAAAGTTAAGAAGTCATCTGGCATGAACATGTCATGTGGAGCGATGAGGAAAATGTGGAAAAAAAAGTGTTAGGTATGAGATAAATAAAATAAAAGGTGGATGAACTGTGTGTGTGTGTGTGTGAGAGTTGATATGGCTAGGAAGGGTATAAACAGTGAGATGACGAATGATAGACTAGAATGGAAGAATCATACTTACTGCGCCGACCCCAAATAAAATTAAGAATAGGGTAAAGGGATGATGATGTTTTTTTTTAATTTCATCTTCTATGGAAAATGGGTTTGTTTTCACTTACATATTTAAAAATTTTGAAATGTCGAAATTTCTTCTCATATAATATTTTAGATTGTCGTTTTGGGTTCTCTCGAAGTTTTCCAAAAACATCATCATTCTTAAGTCAGCCGTACCATCATATTCGTTTATGTTACTGTGAAATGATGTTTTGTGTAAAACTTTGTTATGTGGCCAGGTTTAGCACACACCCACTCTTATGGCTGTCACTTATGAGTGCTGCGCTAGGTGGAGTACATGGCGTCATCATGAACATCTTCTTGTTCTAATATTTTTATTCAAATTTGAGTTAACACGCGTCTGCTCCTAACAAACGTCAGAGCAAGTGTTGCTTGCCTTGCCTTCTCTTCTTGCTTACCGTTTTCAATACATTATATTTTTCTCCCTTTCATTACCAAAAAAGGCAAGCCTTTTGCCGTCATTTGAAAACAATTTTTTCAAAGCATTTATCATAGACATACATCCTATTCTATTAAATATTTGTACAGGAACACTACGCTTAGCCCAGCGCAGCGTGGTCTCCTGAATTATGTTAATAAATTTGCATACTCATACAATCCCCTCGGGGGTTATGAGCCGTACTGGCCTGAGGGCGAGCGTGTACTCGAAGACAAATCTATGCTTACAATGGGCCCTGGTGGATCGACCAATACACCTAAATCTACAACGCAACCACCGTACCCAATGGTGTGCGGACTACCATGCCCTGAAAACTACCGTCGGTAAATATGTCAATACTTAATTTTAGTTTATCAGAACATTATAAGTTGAAAAAAAGCATAGTCCCCACCTTTACGACTGCTGCGAAGATTCTGAGGGGCGTATGGTCGCGGATTGTCTCGCTTGGGTTCAGCAATATGCGGCTCTTAGTGCTCTCGTAGATCTAATACAATAAAAGATCTATACCTACCAAGTATCATACACTCCATGTCTAGTGGTGACTGGTATTTTACCACAGCTGCGTACTTATGCGAGGATATCATCTCGTGCACTGGAGAAGGAAGCAGTATAATTTCCACTCAGATTCTCATTAGCGGGCAAACCAAGCAATGGAGCCGCGAGTCTAGGAAGGCCAAACCTTCCATCCTCTATAGTGGCCTGGTACGAACAAATATGTACCACAAACTTGTTCAATATTTCTAAACGAGCATAGGTGTCGAAATCTTTAAAATGTAGCAATTGTCCTACTATCTCACACAACAGAATCTGAATAAATTTCGTTAACCAGTTATTTTTGTTACAGTATAAAGCATGTGTGTACCCATCACACTAGTAATAACAAGATGAGTGGCTGCATGTACCATCCGTTGTCAGATGATTGGAAGAATGAACATTGCTGGAACATAAAACCAGACACGTTTGATGATCCGTTTCATGAGTTTGAAACGTATTGTGAGTTTCTAAAGGAAACGTGTAAGGAACACTTTACATCTCCCAGTAAGTGAACCTCTCTAAATCAGTGATTGGTAGATATTAAGAAACCCTAAGGATTTTATTAAAGTATTAATAATTTATTTTATTTTTGCCTCGTAAAAAGTTATTCAAGGCCATCGAAAATACAGTAACTCGTTTTAAACAATCGTGGGTATACATCAGATTCTATCAGAAGCTCTTATTTTTAAAGAAATTCGGTTTGATCCCCGATGTTGAGTAAAGGTGTAGCATCACTCTGCATTCTCTGTCGTCTTTCTCATATTTAGCTGTGCTCTATGGAACTATTCGGACTTATACCAGCGACAGCTTGTCATTAGAGTTTAACACGGTAAAACATCCTCCCATATCACTTGAATTATTGATACTCCATATCTGTGTGCTTATCAAGAAACGTCTAGCCTTTTTTTTTTTTTTAACGTGTGGAAATCCCTTCGTACCGTCACCCCACCGGGGTTTGCGGCGGGGTGGTGTGTCGGACTCGGACCGACTAAAACCACACGGTGTGCCACTCTGCGCCTGTAATAGGAGGGATCCGGGAACAGCTGTTATTAAGACGTCCGGACCCCTCCTAGCGCCGGCCCGCTCCTGTTGCGGGCTCCGTCTCAAAATTTTCCTCTCTTTAGGCGACGTCCGGCACACGCGGACGCCGCCCCCTCGCGGCTGGCCAAACTAATGCGGGTGGAGGGGAAACCCACCCCGTCCACCCGCGGCCACACTCAGGGCGGCATGAGGCGGTGATAGCCTCGCACAACCAATTCGTAGGATAAATAAAATTATCGCCTGCGGTATTCCAAGAAAAACGAGTACTTCTCAAAGGTCGACAACGCACTTGTGACTTCTGATTTGCAGGCGTCACAAGTGGCGATAGTCACTGTTCATCAGGTGATCCATTTGCTCGTTTACCCCTATATAATCTATACTAATATTATAAAGCTGAAGAGTTTGTTTGTTTGTTTGTTTGTTTGAACGCGCTAATCTCAGGAACTACTGGTCCGATTTGAAAAATTCTTACAGTTTTAGATAGCCCATTTATCGAGGAAAGCTATAGGCTATATATCATCACGCTAAGACCAATAGGAGCGGAGCACCAATGAAGAATGTTTCAAAAACGGAGAAAATTTATTTTTGTTGAGAGACGCAGACGAAGGTGCGCGGGTCAGCTAGTTAGGTATATATAAGTATAAACAATCCAATGTGCGATCTGTTATCATGACCGGCGAAATAAATAAAGAAAAGAAATAGGGCGTGGACTAGAGCAACAAACAAGTATCGGCAATCTTGCAAAAGCAATTTTGTCCATAAGACTTTCACTAATGAGTTGATGATGTATTGTTGTAAGTGGAATCATGCTAAAAGTTTTTATTACCGGACTATGGAGAAGGAGGGTTATATTTCAAGAGTATGTATATTTCCTCGGCACGCTCCTCAGTCTAGACGGCTTGATGGATTTAACGTTGGGAAGTGTCGTTAGATTTGTCCTAATTGTGACTGACATTGTTTATAAGAAAAAAATCTCCTATTTGTATATTTTAAATATCAATAAATACATTATCACGTATTGGAGACTTGTTTTTTTTTTCACTATTAATAAATTTGTATAGTTCAAATTAACATAAGTAGATAATCTAAGATTTATTTAAATAATTAACCATTTGCAGAGTATATACTGCTTCACATCGGTAAGTGTAAAGATGAGCACTTCTGGTTCAAAGATCTGTCAGATAATTCGCATGTATTGAACAGGATGACTGAGTATCCATTAGCAGGCCAAGAAACAAAGCACTTTGACTTGAATAAAAAGGGTACGCATCGACGACGAACTACTCAAGACCCTACCTACGCCTGAGGTCCAGGAGGGTTACATACAATAATTATTAAACGTGTATACCAAGGCCTTATTTCTTTTTGCTTGGCATATTTTCGTATTTATTTAACAATATTGCTTATTAATATTAAGTTCTTATCTAATAAAAAGTAGTTTACAAGGAGTTTCTTTTTTATTATTTTGTTCTAGAGCAGTATACGAAATAGCATCCAGAATATTATATCATCAATTTTGCAACATATTCCATTACTTATATTTTTAAAAGTTTCAAAAGAAAAGAGGTACCATATTCGGCTGTATGTATTTTTAGGGTTCCGTACCTCAAAAGGAAAAAACGGTACCCTCATAGGATCACTTTGTTGTCCGTCCTCCATCCGTCTGTCTGTCTGTCACGACCCTTTACCACGGGACCGCGTGGAGGTATCGAGTTGAAATTAAAGCGATATACTTAGTATATCCTAGACTGTACACCTTAGTGTACCGTCTCTTAAAGCTGTGAAAAAAACAAACTTCTAAGTATCATCATCATCATCAACAGCCTATAATAATCCACTGCTGGACATAGGCCTCTCCTTAGAAAGGAGGTTTTGGCCTACTATACTACGCTGGCCAGACGAGTTGGTATAGGGTTTGTTTCAAGTTTTCCTTCTTTTTGCAGTGCTGTTGTCCTGTACAGTTTGTTCCCTTAGTCGGCTCTTACGACACCCACGGGATGAATAGGGGTGATGATAAAAGACATAGAAAAAAGTTACAACCGTCTCCATCTCCGGGGAATCAAAATTTATGTGGTATTATCCGTTGACCTATGAAATTTGGCAAGTAATAGCGGCTTATACTACAAGTATAGGGCAAAATCTGAAAACTATACAGTTGTAATTAAATTATTAAAAAAACAGGGTATTTATGCAAGGTCCAAATTTTGAATTGAGTTAATTTAATTTGAGTTAGTTACAGATTTTTAATTATTTGTATGATGTATGGTTTAGTTTTAGTTATTCTGATTCTACAGTGGAGGTTACGGACTGGAAAACGCTGCGTGAGACGACAATCAACACAGTGTATCGTAGTGTATAAAAAAATACTGGTTCACTATGTATGTGGCTATGTGTATGGTTCACTGGTGTTCTTAGAAGTCTTCGTCTTCCACTGCTGGATAGTGGACATAGCGGCACCTATGTGAACAGTGGACAGTGCACTGCTGGACATTACTTGCGGCTGGCACCTTTATGTACTTTGATAATTTCAGAGTATGTTTACTAACATAAAAGATGTGTTTTTTAAGTTTATTTTGTAAAGATTACATTCTTGCCTACTGTCTAAAGAAAATTGTTCTCTTTCAAGAGTGTATTCTCTTTCTTATTCTAACTAAAACTAGCATCTAGTCGACTGCACGGATGGCGTATGTTGTGTGTATGATGGCGTTGTGGGTTCAAACCCCATATGGAACGACACGTTGTGTAATCCACAAATTGTTGTTCTAAGTCTGTGTGTTGTGTCCATTTCATGTATGTTTGTAAAGTCCCCCGCGACACAGGATATATTCCTAATGCGGGAGTTGTCTTTTTAAGATTTTAAGAAGATTAAGATTTAAGATCTACTAATTTTTGGGTCATACTTTTGCAATCAATAAAATATAGATTATTTCGTATCGATCAAGTTATCTTATGGTTATATCTACGAGTATGTTACAAAAAAATAGAGGTCAGAAATGAGAGAGGAATCTACCACGTTTATATTGCTCATTAGTGAGGTCGTACAAAAACTACCTACCCTTTTATGTTCATTGAATACTGATTACTCGCACGAACGAAGGCCCCTTCTGTGTGTTTTTTTTTATCAAGAGAACACTACATTAAACCCCCAGGCACGTCTACGAGATGGTTAAGATAAGAATGCGTAACTATGTTATTCTGATTATACTATCTCTGTATAGATAGAATCAGATAAGTTTCTTATTCTTAGGATACTCGATATTGCTCATTATTAGTGAATATATCATGTTCATTTCTTTCACCATGAAGTGTAAGAGGAAATGTCAGATGTGCTGCTGCAGAGGTTACATCTTTTTCCATTATAGAAGAATATTTCTTCTTGAGATGTATAAACAAAACATCATCATCATCAACAGCCTTTAATAGTCCACTGCTGGACATAAGCCTCTCCTGAGAAAGGAGGTTTTGGCCTACTATACCACGCTGGCCAGACGGGTTGGTAAAGGGTTTGTGTCAAGTTTTCCTTCTCTCTGCAGTGCTGTTGTCCTGCTTAGTTTTTTCCTTTAGTCGGCTCTTACGACACCCACGGGATGAATAGGGGTGGTGACACTCTGTATTCTTAATCCGTCACCACACGGACTTTTTAACAAAACATAGTTTTGTAAAAACAATGTGTGATAAATATCTAATAATTTATAAGGAGTATATATAATGTATAATCCTAATTATGTCGGTATTTGTTTAATTTTTATGCTTTTCTATGTTGATTCCTACGTACGCATAACTGTGCCCTTACGTTTCTCTGTTGTCCTCTATTCGCTCAAGGTTTGCTGGAAGAAAACTCAGTTTTGGGTTAAGCTCGCCTTTGTACATGACATTTCCTTGTTACTTATATATATGTATTTGTTCAGTGTGTACGATAAAGAATAAATAGAAATAGGTGGTCGTACCGATATACCGGTTTGTTCTGCATTTTTACGCTACATTACATACTTATATTTTAAAAGTTTCAAAAGAAAAGAGGTACCATATTCGGCTGTATGTATTTTTAGGGTTCCGTACCTCAAAAGGAAAAAACGGTACCCTCATAGGATCACTTTGTTGTCCGTCCTCCATCCGTCTGTCTGTCTGTCACGACCCTTTACCACGGGACCGCGTGGAGGTATCGAGTTGAAATTAAAGCGATATACTTAGTATATCCTAGACTGTACACCTTAGTGTACCGTCTCTTAAAGCTGTGAAAAAAACAAACTTCTAAGTATCATCATCATCATCAACAGCCTATAATAATCCACTGCTGGACATAGGCCTCTCCTTAGAAAGGAGGTTTTGGCCTACTATACTACGCTGGCCAGACGAGTTGGTATAGGGTTTGTTTCAAGTTTTCCTTCTTTTTGCAGTGCTGTTGTCCTGTACAGTTTGTTCCCTTAGTCGGCTCTTACGACACCCACGGGATGAATAGGGGTGATGATAAAAGACATAGAAAAAAGTTACAACCGTCTCCATCTCCGGGGAATCAAAATTTATGTGGTATTATCCGTTGACCTATGAAATTTGGCAAGTAATAGCGGCTTATACTACAAGTATAGGGCAAAATCTGAAAACTATACAGTTGTAATTAAATTATTAAAAAAACAGGGTATTTATGCAAGGTCCAAATTTTGAATTGAGTTAATTTAATTTGAGTTAGTTACAGATTTTTAATTATTTGTATGATGTATGGTTTAGTTTTAGTTATTCTGATTCTACAGTGGAGGTTACGGACTGGAAAACGCTGCGTGAGACGACAATCAACACAGTGTATCGTAGTGTATAAAAAAATACTGGTTCACTATGTATGTGGCTATGTGTATGGTTCACTGGTGTTCTTAGAAGTCTTCGTCTTCCACTGCTGGATAGTGGACATAGCGGCACCTATGTGAACAGTGGACAGTGCACTGCTGGACATTACTTGCGGCTGGCACCTTTATGTACTTTGATAATTTCAGAGTATGTTTACTAACATAAAAGATGTGTTTTTTAAGTTTATTTTGTAAAGATTACATTCTTGCCTACTGTCTAAAGAAAATTGTTCTCTTTCAAGAGTGTATTCTCTTTCTTATTCTAACTAAAACTAGCATCTAGTCGACTGCACGGATGGCGTATGTTGTGTGTATGATGGCGTTGTGGGTTCAAACCCCATATGGAACGACACGTTGTGTAATCCACAAATTGTTGTTCTAAGTCTGTGTGTTGTGTCCATTTCATGTATGTTTGTAAAGTCCCCCGCGACACAGGATATATTCCTAATGCGGGAGTTGTCTTTTTAAGATTTTAAGAAGATTAAGATTTAAGATCTACTAATTTTTGGGTCATACTTTTGCAATCAATAAAATATAGATTATTTCGTATCGATCAAGTTATCTTATGGTTATATCTACGAGTATGTTACAAAAAAATAGAGGTCAGAAATGAGAGAGGAATCTACCACGTTTATATTGCTCATTAGTGAGGTCGTACAAAAACTACCTACCCTTTTATGTTCATTGAATACTGATTACTCGCACGAACGAAGGCCCCTTCTGTGTGTTTTTTTTTATCAAGAGAACACTACATTAAACCCCCAGGCACGTCTACGAGATGGTTAAGATAAGAATGCGTAACTATGTTATTCTGATTATACTATCTCTGTATAGATAGAATCAGATAAGTTTCTTATTCTTAGGATACTCGATATTGCTCATTATTAGTGAATATATCATGTTCATTTCTTTCACCATGAAGTGTAAGAGGAAATGTCAGATGTGCTGCTGCAGAGGTTACATCTTTTTCCATTATAGAAGAATATTTCTTCTTGAGATGTATAAACAAAACATCATCATCATCAACAGCCTTTAATAGTCCACTGCTGGACATAAGCCTCTCCTGAGAAAGGAGGTTTTGGCCTACTATACCACGCTGGCCAGACGGGTTGGTAAAGGGTTTGTGTCAAGTTTTCCTTCTCTCTGCAGTGCTGTTGTCCTGCTTAGTTTTTTCCTTTAGTCGGCTCTTACGACACCCACGGGATGAATAGGGGTGGTGACACTCTGTATTCTTAATCCGTCACCACACGGACTTTTTAACAAAACATAGTTTTGTAAAAACAATGTGTGATAAATATCTAATAATTTATAAGGAGTATATATAATGTATAATCCTAATTATGTCGGTATTTGTTTAATTTTTATGCTTTTCTATGTTGATTCCTACGTACGCATAACTGTGCCCTTACGTTTCTCTGTTGTCCTCTATTCGCTCAAGGTTTGCTGGAAGAAAACTCAGTTTTGGGTT